AGGCTAAGTGGGGGAAAACAAGGGGTCACAAGACCAGTCAAGCAAAGCAAAGCAAAGAAAGCTCAGGGTGGATCACAAAGTCACCACACAGTCCGAGCACAAGAGCAGGGCCAGAGGCCAGTTCACATGCAGGAGTACAGACATATATATAAAACTAGACAAGCACGAGCAGGTATATATATATGTCACAGTACAAGTGAAGTCAAGAGGAGAGCAAGTGAGGCAAGACAGGTACAAGACCCAGCTGGGTGCAAAAGCGCTGATGGTCACAAGGCGCGAGTGCCTTGGTGAACACATCAGCAGTGTTGGCCTCAGAGGCCACGTACGCAAGTCGCAACTGACCACGCTGCTGCAGCTCACGAGCAAGGAAGTAGCGGAGAGCAATGTGCTTCGTTCTGTGCTCCAAGCGCTGCTCTCGACACAAGGCCAGCATGGCCTTGTTGTCTACGTACAGCACTGGAGGAGAACGAGGCGGCTCTCCAAGGTCAGTCAGCAGATAGGTGAGCCAGCGAAGCTCCTGTGCAGCCATGGCCCCGGCGTAGATCTCAGCCTCACAACTGGAGCCGAGAACCGAAGACGAGCGAGTAGACCGCCACGAGACAGAGCCGGAACCAAGGCTGAAGGTGTAACCCTGAAGGAAAGATTGGGTACAAATACAACCCTAGAAACCCTGTACCCCATATGTGCTACCCCACTATAGCCTACAAACATGCATCAGCTATAATACTCGGACAAGAGGGACTTAGAAAAATTGCGCAGAACTGGTTTTACATACCCGTATCGGCGCTTTCGTCGTCGCCCCCGCGGTTTTTAAAGGCCGGAACTAAGCGGTTGAAGACCCCGCTCTGATTACCAAGTGTGAGGATCTGGGATCGAGCTCAGAAAAGATGATTCAAATTGAATTGAATGATCACCTGGGTACAATACGAGGCTATATATAGGCTCGACACAAGGCCCCGTAACCAGGTCTTACGCGAAGGTTCCGCGGGTCGCGAAGCGTCCCGAACAGATCCTTACCGAATTTGGTAGAAGGCAATTCGGTGGCAACCGAAAAGCCAGAATTTGGTGCACGCAACCTAGCTCGGTACTATAACTATAATAAAATATAGGAAAGCACCTAGCCTAGGAAATCAAGCAATTCATGCATGCATATGATTATCCTATGCTAGAAATAGCATGATAAAGTAGAGGCAAGCAAGCATAGCTGGCATATGCCGTCGTACTCTCACAGCTTGTCCGCAGAGGTGCCGCGGACAAGCACATTGCAGCCCAAGACACGAAAGGCCGACCCAACACTAGGGGACCCAGTCCAAAGACTGGTCGGTGAAGCCCCCGGCCGCGAGAAAAGCAGCTGGAGGTTCAGCTGGTTGGCTGCATAGCGAACAGCGTAGGGCCACGAAAAATGGGGCGCACGGGCATGGATCATGGAGGTGCGGGCGATCTCCATGACCAAGTTAATGCGGCGCTAAGCAACCCCATTCTGGTGTGGGGACTCCGTAAGCGTCCAGGACCGTGTGATGCCCTGCTCGCCACAGAACCCGGCAAGTACGTCGGAGCGGAACTCAACCCCACGGTCGGATTGGGCACAACTGACGCGACGACCATGAGTGTCTTCATTGGCCAAGAGCCACCAAATCAGCGTAGAAGTCACCTTGGACTTCTTCGCGAGATGAAACACAGTGGTATACCTGGAGTATTCGTCAACGACCACTCAAAAGAAGTGCTCCCGCTCAAGCCCTGCAGGAGGGGCTGGGCCCTAGACGTCCAATTGGAGGGTCTGGAAGGGAGCGGTGGCTGGACGAATGGAATAAGGAGTGGCGCTCAGCCGACCTCCACGCAAGGAGTGCACGGCGGCGCAGGCGAACGGGGAACCGACTCAAAGACCCGCGGGAGACCGGAGACTAGACGGTGGTTTGCCATGCTACGGAGGCGTGGGAGGGACGGGTGACCAAGACGGTGGTGCCACAAGACTATCAAGTGGGAGAGTGACCAACAAGAGCAAGACGCAGCAACTAGATCAGACACAGTAACCTGACCGGACACAGCGACCTAAGTGGACACAGCAACCTGTAGGGACGTAGTAACTGGGCTGGACTCAGCTACCTGCGAGGACGTGGTAACCTGACTAGACTCTGCCACCTGGTGGGACGCAGTGTGCAGAACGAAGAGACCTAAATGGGGCACCCTGGTGAACGTGGCAAGAACTGCTCCGGTAAAGCGTCTGCACAGATCGCGGTCCTCCCGTGCGCAAAAAAAGTGACAGTGATCCCACGGTCCTGAAGGTATCCAACCACCCACCAAGTTTCGAGAGAAAGAGGGGATGTAGAGACCAGTGAGGGAACCAGACGGGACAACCGGGCATGCGAGGTTGGTAGAACTGTGAACGACTGCTGGACCTAAAGTAGGATCAGCCAAAGCAACTGAGACAAGAGCAGCAAGAGGAGTGACATTGGTATGGTCGCGGAAGAAGCACTGGGACGCTCTAGAGTCAAGCGTGAGGGAGAGAGACGCTTCAGCAATCGTCACAGCCACACTAGTAACTACACAATCACCTATACTAGCAACAGGTAAAGGTCCCAAGCTAGGTACACGCAAGTCAAGAGATCCATAAGTGGCAGAATAAACAGCATCCATAGACATATCAAAGACACGGTAATCACTACGAGACAAACCGGGCCAGATCGGCAGATTCGAGTCTGGCCCAAAACGCTCACGGTAAAGATCATCGAGATGACTGTAGCAGCGCAGTGCAGAGCGGTCAGGACGCCAGCAAGTAGTGCCAACACGAGGGCCGGTCAGGATCCGGTACTGGCACGGTCCAACGTCGCGGCCACCGCGACGAGCCCCCGAGCTGGCTGGGCCGCTGCTGCACCCAACGCTGCCCGAATCACCAGGTCCCCACTACTTCTGAGGGCACCACTATTGAAACTGTCGCTGCTGCTGCTGCAAAACTCTAGTGGACGCCATGGTAAAGACTAGCTGGGCGTAGGAGTGGCCGAACGAGGAACGGCTGGAGCTAGAAACGGCTGCAGCAAGGCACGGCTGGGTCAGGACACGGCTGGGGCTAGGCACGGGTGGAGCAAGGCACGGCTGAAGTAAGGCACGGCTGGAGCAAGGTATGGCTGGAGCACGGCACGGCTGGAGCAAGGCACGGCTGGAGTGAGGCACGGCTGGAGCAAGGCATGACTAGAGCAAGGCACGGCTGGAGCAAGGCACGGCTGGAGCAAGGCACGGCTGGAGAAAGCACGGCTGGAGCGAGGCACGGCTGGAGCGAGGAACGACTGGAGCAAGGCACAGCTGGAGCAAGGCACGGCTGGAGCAAGGAGAGCTAGGAGAAAGAACCCTAAATCCTGACAAGAGGGTCGGAGAAGGATGGAACGCCAAAGGTACACTAAAACTAGGAATAGCGGCCTCCAGCCACAGCGGAGGGAAGCACGGAGCGAAGGAGCAGTAGAGGACTCGAATACTTGCGGTGATAAAGCCCGGGAAGGGCCTGCTCAGGGCCTAGGCGAGTTCGGGAGGGGCATGCGACTCGGGCAGTGCTGCTGTGGGCAGCTGGAAGGCCTGTGGCGCCGCTCTGTTGGGATGTGCGCTGCTCTGCAGGGTGGCGCGCGCTGCTCTGCAGGGGGCGAGCTACTCTGCTGCGTGGCGCGCCCTGCTCTGCTGGGCCGCACGCTTCTCTGCTGGGTGGCGCTCGCTGCTCTGCTAGGGCGCACGCTAAGTAGGGGCGGCGCACTGGTCTTGCAGGGGCGGGTCACGCACGCTAAGCAGGGGCAACGCGCTGGTCTTGCAGGGGCGGGTCGCGCACGCTAAGCAGGGGCGACGCGCTGGCGTGGCAGGGACTGGGCGCGCATGTAGCAGGGACGGGGTGCTACTACGGAGTAACGACAGAGCAACGACCGAAGGGAGCGAGCTAGGCAAGGCACTAGAGCACGGGCGAGCTAAGTTAGGTTAGGAGCGTACCAACTCGTGATACCATCTCAAGAGTGATGCACAGCGGAATGGATTGACTAGCAAGGTTGGCGATGCAAATAGTAACTCTAGAATGAGTTGTACCCTCTAAAGTGCATCTCACTACAACTTATCATAATAATGTATAACGTTTGACAGAAGCATATCTTATTGTTCGTAACCATTTACTTCTAGCATTGACTGCTAAAAATATCAAAAATTTGACCAAAAAAAATTTCTTAGAGTACTTACCATGATTATTCAACAACCGTTTTACTTCATAGCCACATCCTTTGACAAATAAGATACACGATATCATATGATATCATCATATGCATCTCGTGTTCCGAAGTGATGTTCTCGATATCCCTAATTGAGTTTTCGTTTGGCTGTCTGACGCGTTTCTGCTCGGCCCCGAACCTCACGGAAAGGGGCGTATCCACCTATTTATCCTGGCGCGAAATTTTACGGCAGGGATGGAGGGAGACGGCCCACACTTGAGGATTACATCGAGCGAATAGCCACTTATCAAACCGCTAGTGCACTAGCCACTCTCTTCGTCATCCGACGAGTCAATCGGTTTTGACCCTTGATTTTGTGACTCAAACCTGCCGGACGCACCCTCATCCTCCAACAAAATGATCGCGTTTCATCCAATCGATCCGTTTGACTTCGCACCGCATTCCCCGCTCCCTTAGCGACCTCGTTCTTGGCCACAGTACCGCGTTCCACGACCCTCCTCGCCTCGCAGCGCCGTGGTAGCGTCGAGCTCGCACTTCAAGTAGCCAGCCCACAGCAGCCATGGAGCCTCGTGAAGTGCCGCTTCTGTGCCATAACCCCCTGTTGTGCCATCCCGCCGTCGCTCTCTCTGCGAGACTATCTCGCCGCTCCTCATTCTGCCCAACCATCATCGGCGGGAACTCTGCTCCCATATCTCGGCAATCACTGCCATCCACGATCGCTACCGTCACGTGCGCTGCGCCTCTCCGCCGCGCCTCTCCGCCGCGCCTCTCCGCTGCGCCGATCGGTTTTCCGCCCCGCTCGCCACGATGAGTGGGTTTCCGGCGCTGCTCGCGCTGCTCGCGTTCGCCCTCATTCTCGGTCAGTCCAGCACCCGTGCCGCCCCGCGAGTGCCTGTTGTGTGTGCACCGCATTCCGGTCACTTCCGTCCCTTGCCTCGTAGTGCCCACCGCCCCCAAGCGAGGCAACAAATGTAAATGTGCGATGAAGTCAATCAAGCGGATGTGCACATGACATCGCCTTCACATGACATCGCCTTCACATGACATCGCCTTCACTCTCCGCGCCCCTCGACTTGCTTGACAGCGCCATTCGCGTTCGCGCGTTACTGCTGAATCCGAATCCGACTGGAGGAAACAATGAAACCTGGCCGACCAGGGCAGACCACACCAACCAACTCCCCTCCCTGCTTCTTCCCCTCTCGTCCCTGCTCGCCCTCCCCTGCAGCGAGTGACGTCATCCGCGCGGCGTGCGGCCAAGACATGCTCACGGACGTGTCTGCTACGCCGCCGCCGGCGGTGGCGACGGCGATCACGGTGGGCAGCACCTTCGCGTTCAACTTCACGGCGGCGCGCTGCACCAACCTGCAGAGCACTCTTCCCAACGCCACCGTGCAGTGGACGTCCGCCGCCGCCGCCACCGCGAAGCTCCCCGCGTGCGAGAACATCACCCTCTGGACCGGCCCTGATTGCACCGGGGTCGTCGCGTCCTTCCTCGCCAAGCCCTCCAGGTCAGCGTGCCGCCTGTGCCACGGCGTGCGGTGGGTGGGGTGGCGTGTGGTACAGTGCGGTCGAATCTGATTCGGCTAACGTGTTGGCAGTGAACCAAAAGTGGTTGCCCGAAATGGTGTGGAAAAACGGGACACGATTCAAGCTATAATGAGGCAGCGTGATTAACTAGCCCTCCTCCGTGGTGGCTCAACTAGCCTTTCTTCTCTCGCATGCTTCCTCTGCCTCCCCTGCCCTCCACAGCCCGACCACCTACACCACCCGAACCATCCTCTCTTCTCCGTATCCACTGTCGGCTCTCTGCTTTATCGGTACGCTCCTCGTCGCCCTTCCTCCAGTAAGTGCACTGTCAGTAGAGTCCCTGTCGTTGCGTGACCTGCGCGTACGATGGCACTTGCCAAGCCAAGGTAAGAGCGCTGCAGTAAGCGTGCACCATTGTCACTGCTCTCTCCGCCACAGCAGTTTCACTGGGTCGTGCCTCACTGCTCTCTCACACACCGCATTTGACTCCCTCACCTCCCCTTGCTGCTCTGCCCGCGCCCTCCCTGCCCTCCCTGCATCGCATCACGTGGCGTCATCGCGCTGGCATCAGCGGGAGACGCTCCCTGGTGGCCCACAGAGGTGGCGGCCAGGGTGGTGGTGGCGACGGCCGTGGCAGTGGGCGCCTACAAGGTCGCCTTCGACCCCTCCTCGCGCTGTGCAGGCGTGCCAGCCGGCACGGCTCCCGCTGGCGTGAGCACGCCTGTGAGCGTCCGGTGGGACGCGCCGTGCACCACGCTGGCGTTCTTCCCCGGCAGCAGCTGCAGCGGCGCTGTCCTGAAGCTCATGTATTCCTTCTCCAGGTCCGTGCGTGGATCTAAGTGGGTGCTGCGTGTGGTGTGGGGCAATGCAGGGCACGGGTGGGGGACGGGTGGAGGGAAAAAAGAAGGGATTACTGGGAGTGGTGGGAGGGAGAGTATGGCATGGGTGGCGTTGAACGGGTGGAAATCGGATGGAATTAGAGAAGGTGGGAAACGATGAGACGTGACGGAGGCCATGACTCAAAGCTGTGTTTTTCCTTGTGTTCTCTTCGTCTTCCCCCCAGCAGCAGCAACTCCCCGTCCATCAAACCATCCAGCCCACTCGCGTCAATTCGCTGCTCATTCTGTACGTACCCCCCCCTTCTGCCTTTCACTTCTTGCTTCATTTCACCACTTGCTGCCTTTCACCATTTGCTGCCTTTCGCGCATTGAACCTGTTTTACTTGGCCCAAAAAATCTTAATTATTGAGATGTGGCAGTGAGAGAGAGAGTCCAATTTGAATCTGCTCTTCCCATGTGCAGCCTCCTCCACGGCATGCAATTACGCCACATGCCCTGCCAACTCCGTGTGCGCGGGCACAAGCGACAACAGGGTAGCCACCTGCAAGTGCGACAAGGGCTATATTGGCATCAACGGCACCTGCCAAGGTACAGTGCTGTGCTCGCCCAGGTGCAAAGCTCCAAGGTTACTGAGGTGCAGAAGGACTGTGCTCGCCAGAATACATTGATGGGGATCACTGTGGGGCTTATGTCTCTCAACTCAAGTACGAGCATTGCTCTGAGAAGAGGAGCATGCATGATTCATTTGGGAGTTTCCAAAGCTGGCCTTTCTGGGGCTATGGTTGCTATCCTTCCAACCTATCCTTTCAGGACATTCTACTGATTGTTTCCCTCTTCTTGCTGTCCTTGCTCGAACTCCCTTCCACTGCAGACAAGTGCAATCTCAACTGTGTTGCGGCCAACACCCGTTGTGTGAGGGACGCGAACGGGGTCCCGGATTGTGTTTGCAACAAGGGCTTTCAATATGCTTCTGACAGCAGCAACACCTGTGTTGGTGAGTTGCGTGTAGAGAATTCCCAGCACGTGAGATAAAACGCTGGCTCCACAACAGTGACTGCAGAGTAGTGCAACGAATGTTGTGCCGATGACCTTGATTCGAGGTTCATTTGAGCTTGATTTAAACTCTCTTTAGCTCAGCCAATGAATGAATGAGTGAATGTGTTCCTGTCTTGCATTACCCTCCTGGATCCATCCCATTCACTATCCTTGCTTGCTTCCATGTCCCCTCTCTTCCATTGCAGACAAATGCTCTTTTGTGAATTGTGGGCCCAACGGCAAGTGCATCAAGGATGCGAATGGAAATGCCACCTGTGCTTGCAACGCTGGCTTCCAGATGCCTCCCAACAAGATCACTTGCATTGGTGAGTTGCACGCACTGGCACCTAGAGTGAGTGCGATTGCATGGAATGTTTGATGGGCCTAAAGTGCATGCATGCATCTGCTCTGCAAGCACTGTTACACTTCCCTGGTTTAGGGTTCAACATGCAACCTGCATTGAGTGATGTTCCTTCCCTGCAACGCGCCTCACTTCTCACATGTGATTATTTTCTCCTTCTACCGCCTCCATTCCATTCTTCACCCACCGCTCCTCTATTGCTCGTCACCGCGCCTCTATTGCTCATCACCGCTCCTCTATTGCTCGTCACCGCGCCTCTATTGCTCGTCACCGCTCCTCTATTGCTCGTCACCGCGCCTCTATTGCTCGTCACCGCGCCTCTATTACTCGTCACCGCTCCTCTATTGCTCATCACCGCTCCTCTATTGCTCGTCACCGCTCCTCTATTGCTCGTCACCGCTCCTCTATTGCTCGTCACCGCTCCTCTATTGCTCGTCACCGCTCCTCTATTGCTCGTCACCGCTCCTCTATTGCTCGTCACCGCTCCTCTATTGCTCGTCACCGCGCCTCTATTGCTCGTCACCGCTCCTCTATTGCTCGTCACCGCTCCTCTATTGCTCGTCACCGCTCCTCTATTGCTCGTCACCGCTCCTCTATTGCTCGTCACCGCTCCTCTATTGCTCGTCACCGCGCCTCTATTGCTCGTCACCGTTCCTCTATTGCTCGTCACCGCTCCTCTATTGCTCGTCACCGTTCCTCTATTGCTCGTCACCGCTCCTCTATTGCTCGTCACCGCTCCTCTATTGCTCGTCACCGCTCCTCTATTGCTCGTCACCGCGCCTCTATTGCTCGTCACCGCTCCTCTATTGCTCGTCACCCCTCCTCTATTGCTCGTCACCGCGCCTCTATTTCTCGTCACCCCTCCTCTATTTCTCGTCACCCCTCCTCTATTGCTCGTCGCCCCTCTCTTAATCCGAATGCATTGCAGACAAGTGCGAGTTTGTGACGTGCAAGGCCAACTCAACGTGCGTCAAGGATGCGAACGGGAATACAACTTGCGAGTGCATCAAGGGCTTCGAGAGGCTTCCGGGCAATGACACTTGCGTTGGTGAGTTCAATCGGTCAGTTGCTGTGCGCTTGCTCATCGTCCATAGGGTCATATAACTAGAAGACATGGTGAAAGTATCATGTAACGTTACCCTGTACCCAAGAACTGCGGAGGACAGTAGCTTCGTGATTTTACTGGCTCACGGTATGAAGTTGGGAGTGAGAATCACATCACTGATCGTATGCATGCATGCTTGGCAGCTCCAGTCTGCCTTTGGCTTCTGAATTAGTCAGCATGCTGCAGGGATTGCTTGCATCATGACCTGATTTCATGGTTGTCAAACATCATCGATCCCTTGTATGTGTGTCAAACATCATCATTGCAGACAAGTGTGCTGCAGTGGATTGTGGGCCCGGCGGCACGTGCAAGACGGATGCGTATGGAATTCCGGCCTGTAATTGCACCACCGGCTTCAAGCTGTCTTCTGACAAGCTCTCTTGCATTGGTGAGCTCAGTTGGTTAAGTCGCACCACTTGCCCGGTCGTCCACCATGGCAATACATCAAAAGAGAGTGGTGGAAATAGCATGTTGCAAGGGCATCCAGCCAAGATCTAGGCAGGGTCATTGTTTGTGGTCTTGAACCACAAGGGACATTGTAATCCACTGGTTCATGGTCTTGAATCACTAGTAAGAGTTGCCGTACTGATCATGTGATTGCTTGGCAACTTCTGAAATCGCCAGCATGATGCTCACATGGCGTACCTGAATCCATGGTTTTTATAACTCATCATCCCTTCTATGCGTGTCTCCCTTTCAACGCCATTCCTGTTTTATATCTGTTTTCTTTTCGTTGCAGACATGTGTGGTTCAGTGGACTGTGGGACGGGCGGCACGTGCAAGACGGATGCAAAGGGAAATGCATACTGCAGTTGCATGGCAGGATACGTGCCGACTAATAACATGCTCACTTGCATCGGTGAGCTCACTTGCTTGTTTCACTCCAATCGATCACTCGTGCAGACTGGCGATTTTATGACATGCATAATTGCTAGCAATTATGATTTGCTGGTTTCTGGTCTGAAGATGCTTGGGAGTCGCAATTGCACTTGTCACATGAATGCATTGCAGATGCTTCCTGTCTCTGGTTTTTTTCCAATGGTCAGTGTATTGTTCTGTGAAATGCCTCCTCTCTGTCTCCCTCTGCCATGTGCCCATGGCTGCAAAACGTTGTCAACATCCCCTTTTCCGAGAAATGCCTCCTCTCTGTATTCCTCATCAATTCAGTGCATCAGCATTCCCCTTTCTATCTGTGTTCTTCTTATTGCAGACAGGTGTGCTTCTCTGAGTTGTGGGCCTGGCGGCATGTGCGAGAAGGATGCGAGCGGGAATCCCTTCTGCAACTGCAACAAAGGATTCGAGCAGTCTGCTGACAAGCTCACTTGCATCGGTGGGTTGGAGGAGTGCAATAGTGGTCTGTTGCATTCTCAACCTGTTCTTGAAAGTTGCTTGGGTTCAAGTCTGGAGCTATTAGTGGATTACCCGTACCACTTCTTTTTCTTAGCATCCCCTCAACTTTGAGGATTGCTTGAACACGCAGAACTGCTTCTCAAGATGAACACGTCTCTCCTCTTGCCTTCATTTTCTTTTCTGCAGATATTTGTGCTTCAATGAATTGTGGGGTCGATGCCACGTGCTTCAAGAGCTACGAGTATGACGATACTGTCGGATCTCCAATGTGCGTTTGCAACGAGGGCTACCAACCGGAACTGGGCTACGTGTGCATCGGTGAGTTGAAAAGGTGTCGCCTCGAGGCTGCGAGATCGTCGAAACCTGTATATATTCGCAACTCCTTAGCTGAATGCAATCATGCGTTGTACTGAATTGTCTCCGTCTTTTGCATTGCAACTCCCTTCCACTGCAGACGTGTGTGATGTGTACTGCCCGGGCAGCAGGTGCACGAGGGAAGGGAACAATATCACATATTGTGCCGAATGGAGTGAGTTGCATTCCATGCTACCGTAATACCCCGGATAGAAGCGCACCTGCGCTTATAATAAAACATTGTTTTTTGGGGGAGTGCGGTTATAATTGAGTCAGATTTATAAGCGCATGCGCTTGTATAAAGGATAAAATGAAAATCAATTTTGAACACACCATTGTGAAGCTCTCAATAAGGCGAATTCAACCGACCATGCACCAAGTAGGATCGTGCATGGTTTTCAGGCAGAAACCGCAGCGGTCAGTTTCCCACCGCACAATGTTGTCTGGAAACATCGAATGTGACAGCCGTGACGAGGATGTTGCTGTGCGGCCCAATCAGAGCCGCATGCGCTGCGTGGCATGTGCATTCGGGCAGAACCATCTCGAAGGTTTGGCAAGATTCCCTGCCAGCGCAGCGTAGATGCTGCCACGCAAGCGCCTCTACGGGAGTAGGCGGGGGTCTCCTGCCTGTCATCGACGAGGAACCCGAGCCGTCATGCAGCAGGGGTCCCCATCGTTGCCCATTTCTTCACCCTCGTCTCTAATTTTTTCATTCAGTTTCCTGTCTAGCCCGCCTGGCAGGCGAAGCCATGGCGGAATTTAGTGGGACTCACATCCTCTTCAAGAAGAAACCACGCCGCACATGGCGACTTACCGAGGACGGGTGGTATACCCGTGAGCCACCAGCGCCTCCAGTGCCACCGGATCCCCCTACACCCCCTGCTCCTCCTGCTCCCCCTGCACCCCCTGCTCCACCCGCTCCTCCCGCACCTCCCGCTCCTCCGAATCCGCCTGCTTTTGCTACGGCATGTGCTCACCAACGGCACGTGCTCCAACTGTATTTACCAGCCACGTTCGACGAATGGTTGGCTGAAGCGGACACACCTAAGGCCCCCGATGCATGCATCCAAGCTCCAGCGACTGCACCACGGTGGGGACAACCAGAAGTCTGCGCGTGGGATGAGTCGGCTGTGGGCGCCGACGATGATGTGGCTGTCGACAAACATGACAGCGGCGCCGGCGAAGCAGGAGGCGACGATGAAGCGGGTGGCGACGGTGCAGCGGGCGACGAGGAAAATGTGTTTCCCGACCGTGACACAACTGCCGAGGACGAGGACGGTGTGGAGTCCTGGTGGCGCGACGCACCACGCGCAAAGATGCCGGTACCGACGTATCCGCCCCTTAACAAAAAAAACGCCCCTGTGGAAAGTAGAACGAGAATGGATGACTATGGAACGAAAGTGATACAAATATGCAACCCTAGAAATGTGTACCCCATATGGGCTACCCCACTATAGCCTACACAACATTATAATTTGACACACCCCCATAGGCAAAGTGGGGGAGAACAAGGGGTCACAACAAGACCAGTCAAGCAAAGCAAAGCAAAGCTCAGGGTGGTGTCAGATTATCATAGCTGATGCATGTTTGTAGGCTATAGTGGGGTAGCACATATGGGGAACAGCTTTCTAGGGTTGTATTTGTACCCAACTCTGACTTAGTCATTTTCATTTCCTGTTCATTCTTTTCACATGGTATAGAGCGGGTCCCTCCTAAGGACCGTTTTTTTTAAGGGCCCACCCACGAATTTTTTTTTTCCTGCCCGGAGCGCGCCCTATTCTCCCCGAGGCGTGCTCCCCTAGTGCTTGTCGCGCTGCCCTTGTGGCGCCCCGCGAGTCGCGCGCGCGACTCCTTTTTTTTCGCGCGCGCGGCCCGGGCCCCACGTCGCGCTGGCCTTACGGCCGCGCCGCGCCGCCCTCTCGGCTCTGCCGCGCCGCGCCGCCCTCACGCCGGCCGCGCGGCCTCTTCGTCGCTGCAGCTGGCCCCGCCGTCCTACTCTCGGCCCCGCCGTTGCAACCTGCCGGCCCCGCCACTGCACCCTGACGGCCCCGCCGTCCCCTGTCCCGGCCCCGCCGCTGCACCCTGCCGGCCCCGCCGCTGCTCCCTGCCGGCCCCGCCGCTGCACCCTGCCGGCCCCGCCGCTGCACCCTGACGGCCCCGCCGTCCCCTGTCACGGCTCCGCCGTCCCCTGTCACGGCCCCGCCGCTGCACCCTGACGGCCCCGCCACTGCACCAGTCGGCCCCGCCGCTGCACCCTGACGGCCCCGCCGTCCCCTGTCCCGGCCCCGCCGATGCACCCTGCCGGCCCCGCCGCTGCACCCTGACGGCCCCGCCGTCCCCTGTCACGGCCCCGCCGCTGCACCCTGACGGCCCCGCCGTCCCCTGTCCCGGCCCCGTCCTGCACGCCGAGCCGCCCGGGAGCCGAGCCGCCCTGCATCCGAGCCGCCCTGCCGCCGAGCCGCCCGGGAGCCGAGCCCCTCTGCACCCGAGCCGCCCTGCCGCCGAGCCGCCCGGGCGCCGAGCCGCCCTGCACCCGAGCCGCCCTACTGCCGAGCCGCCCGGGAGCCGAGCCGCCCAGCAGCCGAGTCACTGAGTCGCCGAGCCGCCCTTCTGCAGAGTTGCCCGGCCTGCCCTGCCTGGTGAGCACAGTCGCACTGTCACTGCGTGCTCTTCCCCTACTGCTTGCACTGCTTCGCTGTCGTCGTCATGGCTACCCCTAGTGTCCTAGCTTTTGACGCTGAGGGTCGCGCCATTGATTTTGAGGTCTGGTTAGACGACCTGCAGCTGTTCTTACAGTGCGACAGGGCTGACAGCCTTTCTCTCTTTGACCTCACCTCTGGCGCCTCTCCTGCTCCTGCTGCTGATGCTGATCCCACTGTCCGCTCTCAGTGGGCCACCCGCGATGCTGCTGCACGTCTTGCTGTGCGTCGCCACCTCCCTACCTCTGAGCGTGCGCACTTTAGTCAGTACAAGAGTGCTCAGACCTTGTACGACGCTGTAGTTGCGCGCTACTCCTCCCCTGCCACTGCTGCACTGAGCCGTCTCATGCTTCCCTACCTCTTTCCTGACCTCTCTGCCTTTCCCACTGTCGCTGATCTCATTACGCACCTCCGCACTAGTGACACTCGCTACCGCGCCGCCCTTCCTACTGAGTTCTGCGCTAAGAACCCAACCCCCATGTACATCGCTCTCTACTACGTAGTCGCGCGCCTCCCTGACTCCCTTCGCGTCGTCAGGGACCACTTTCTCGCAGTCTATCCCACCACCCTCACCGTCGACCTCCTCGAGAAGGCCCTCCTCGCAGCGGAGAAGAGCATAGTCGCTGTAGGTGCTTCTCGTGGTGACCCTCGCACCCCCATCTTTGAGGGGTGCTCTCCTTCCCCCTTGCTGCCCTCTGTTGCCTCTGCTGCTGCTGCCGACCTGCTTGGTCTTGAGTCGGTCGGCGCGGCGTCTGCCCCTAGTGGGAGACGTCGCTCCAGCAGGGGCAAGGGGGGCAAGGGCGCGGGTGGAGCTGGAGGGGGCGGTGGCGGTGGCGGCAGTGGCGGCGGAGGGAGTGGGGGTGGCGGCGGGACTAGTGGCGGGGGTGGTGGTGGTGGTGGTGGCAGCAGCGGCGGAGACGGTGGTGGTGGTGCCAGCGGTGGTGGTGGAGGCAGCGGCGGAGGTGGAGGCGGCGGAGGTGGAGGCGGTGGAGGCGGCAGCGGAGGAGGCGGTGGTGGTGGAGGAGGTGGAGCTGGTCGGGGTGGTACCCAGCAGCGTAGCGGCGGTGGTGGTGGCCAGCGCTCGCAGCGGCAGCAGCAGCAGCGCTCGCAGGACATCCCTCCGCCTCAACAGCTTCGTGAGTGGTACGCTGGGCGTCAGAGGGGTGGGGGTACTGGTCCCTGCACCTACGTTCTTCGTTCCGGCGACCGCGCGGGTGAGCAGTGTGGGGGTGCCCACGCTGCCCAGCGCTGCTTTGGCCGCCTGACGGACGCTTGGCGTCAGCAGTTCCCTGGGGCTACTGAGATCCCTCGCTGGGATGAGCTTCTTAGGGCTGGTGTAGCGATCTTTGATCTTGATTTTGATGCTATCCTTGCTGCTATGTATGCTGTGACTTATAGTGAGGAGAATGAGGGTTACCGGTGTTTCCAGCCCGACCCGGGCATTGGTACTGCTGCGCTAGGTGCTTGTGAGGCTGCTGCTCTAGGTGCCAGTGCGTCTGCGCTCTCAGGTACTGGTGAGACTGCACTCTCAGGTACTGCGTCGTCCTCGTCCTCCCTCACTTTCACACTTGACTCCGGGGCTTCTCGCTCCTTCTTTCGAGACCGCACTACCCTTACGCCGCTCGACCGGCCGGTTGCAGTCTCCCTTGCTGACCCCTCTGGGGGTCCTGTCCTGTCTCACTTCTCCACTGTCCTCCCGTGTCCGGCTGCCCCTTCGGGCACCCTGTCTGGTCTGTACCTTCCCTCGTTCTCTACGAACTTGGTGAGTGGCGCGGACCTGCAGGATGTGGGGGTTCACCAGTTCACTCCTGCGAGTCAGCGGGTGACCCACTGCACGAAGGCACGCACAGGCCGACACCTGGCCACGTTCTCGCGTCGGCCGGGGTCGAGCCTCTACACCCTGACCGTTGAGTCTCCTCCTGTCCCTGCGTCTGGTCAGGTGGCTGCGTCAGGTCAGGTGCTTGCTGCTGCGTCCCGGTCAGGTCCTGAGTCTGCCCCCTGTTCTTGTCGCCTCCTGTCTCACGAGACTCTCCTGTGGCACCACCGTCTTGGCCACCCCTCCTTGCCCCGTCTTCGGAGCATGGCTTCCCGTGTCCTTGTCTCTGGTCTTCCCCAGTCTCTCCCTCCTCTCCCCTCCGGGCCAGGACCTTCCTGTGTCCCCTGTGTCGAGGGTCGCCTCCGGGCTACTCCTCACTCCTCCCACTTCCCCCCGACGGAGGCTCCACTGCAGACGCTTCACATGGAATTGTGGGGCCCAGCCCCCGTCCGTGGGCAGGGTCACGAGCGCTACTTCCTGTTGGTGGTTGACGACTACTCGTGTTACACCACAGTCCTCCCCTTGCGCAGCAAGGGTGCGGTCACTGAGGTGCTGATCGACTGGATCCGCGAGGCTCGTCTCCAGCTCAGGAAGA